GGGTCCCTGCTTCCCCCCTGCCGGCCCCCCCCCGCATCCCCGCACCTCCACTCCTGCCTGCCTCTCCCTTTGTTCCTGCCCCCATCTAGCTATCGTGATCGTCTTCATCCCTACCGCCTTCTCTCCGTCCCTTCCTCGTCCTTCTTTCAGTGTTTCCCCCCTTCCATCTCTGCTTGCTCCAGTCAGCCTCTCCATCTGCCTTTCTTTCTCCCTCCCTCTGACTGCTTCTCCATCCTTCTCTTTCTCTCCCCCTCACTCTCTCTGGCTACTTGTCCTTCTTTTCTTCTCTCCACCCCTCTGTCCACCTCTCAATTCTTCTTTTCCAGTCTTCCTTTCCCTATTCCTCTCTCCAGCTCTCTGCTCCTCTGTCAGACTCTACATTCTTCTTTTCCTTTATTCCACTCTCTATTCCTCTGTCAGGCTCCCATCCCTCTCATCATCTCTGCATCCCTCTATCCTGCTCTCTATCCTTCTCTCCCTCTCCTTGCCACTGCGTCTGGCCCCCTATTGTTTTGTCCAGCTCCCTGTCCCTCTCTCTGCCTCTACATCCCTTTCCCACTGCCTCTTTTGCTCTGCATCCCTTTGTCTGCCCCTGTAACTCTGTGTGACTTCCTATCCTTCTCTCTCTTTCAAACTGCCTCTCTGTTTGCCTCTCTATTTCTCTTTTCATTCTTTCCTACTCTGTCCGTCTCCCCATCCCTCTTCTCCTTGTTCCATCCCTCTACATGTCCCTCTACATCCTCCTTCTTCTCCCTGTCCCTCATTCCACCTATGTGGTTCTCCATTCCTCTCTTTCTCTTTCCATCCCCCATTCCAGATGGCTGTACCTTTTCTCTTCACTCCATCCTTCTGTCCTGCTTTCCATCCCTCTCTTCCTCTCTCTCCAGCACCCTGTCCTTCCGTTTGCGCTCTCCGTCTCTTTGCCCTCTCTCATGCCATCCCTCTCTCATGCCATCCCTCTCTCATGCCATCCCTCTCTCATGCCATCCCTCTCTCTCTTTTTATCCCCCTTTCAGTCTTCTGCTCCTCATCCCTTTATTCTGCTTCCCATCCCTCTGGTCCCTCTCTCATGCCATCCCTCTCTCATGCCATCCCTCTCTCATGCCATCCCTCTCTCATGCCATCCCTCTCTCATGCCATCCCTCTGTCTCTTTTTATCCCCCTTTCAGTCTTCTGCTCCTCATCCCTTTATTCTGCTTCCCATCCCTCTGGCTCTCCATCCTTCTCTTTCTCTCCCTATCACTCTGTATGGTCTCCCTTTACTCTGTCCCACTCCTCATCTGTCTGTCTCTACATCCCCCTTTTCCTCTCTTTCAACCCCCATTCCTTTGTCTGGCCCCTATCACTTTCTCCAGCTCTTTGTCTCTCTTCTTATCTTGCCATGCCTCTGTCTGCCTTGCCATCCCTCTCTTTCCCATTCTATCCCTCTTTTCCTCTCTTTCCTTCTCCGTCCCTCTGTCTGTCTCCCCATCCCTCTTTTCTCTGCTCCATCCCTCTGTCTGACTCCCCTTCCCTCTTTTCCTCTCTATTCCTCTGACCACCTCTACATCCCTGTTTTCCTCTCTTCTGCTCCCCCTCCCTATGTCTAGCCCTCCCATCTGGCTGTCTAGCTGTCCATCAGTCTGGTCCTCGATCCAGCTTCTTCTCATTGTGTCCTTGTGACTGGCTCCCTGTCCCTCTGTCTGGGTCTCCATTCTTCTTTTTCCATTCCCTCATCCAGCTTTCTGTTGCTGTCATCCTCTCCCCTTCCTCTCTCTATCCGGCCTCCCCATCCCTCTCTCAGGCTCTTCATCCCTCTTTTCCTCTCTTCCACTGCCTGTCTCACTATCTGGCTCTCCATCCTTCTCTTTTACTCCATGTTGTGCTATCTGGCCCACAGTGCCTTTATCTGGCTCCCTGGCCCTCTCTTTATCTCTCCATCCTTCTCTTTCCTTTTCATTCCTGTCTTCTGTCCTCCCCCTCCCCCAGTCCCTCTCTTTAGGCCCCCATTTCCCTCTTGCCTTTAGGGCTGAGGTTCTTTCCTAAAGCAGCCAGTATGTGCACCCTCACTTTTGCGGACATAGATGACGTAGAGGGTGCAGGGAGGTGAGCTGGCCCTTGAGCAGGATTTTGGCGTGAATTCCCCAGGGGATAGCCACCGTGTAGCATGTGTGCGGAGGGTGTTGGTAAGTCACAAGAGGATAACAAGGGGCTGTCAGTTTTAGAGCTAACTATTTCTTTGCCTTTACTGAAGAAAATCAATTTACAGACTGGCTTTCACATTTAGAGACAAACCTTTCTTCAGGTCCTGTGAGGTTTTTCACAACGTGCCTGCAGTCACACACAGTCAGTCAGTCAGACGTGTTAGAATGATTGTTGGCACAGAATGAAGAAAAGGTGTTATGTTATGTGAAAGGGAGTGAGGAGTGGCTGTCCATTTCTATCATTTTTAAATTGAATAAGCCTATAGCCCCAGAGGTAATTGGATACCTTGTTTCCTGTGGCACTAATAGGAAATAATACCTAAATATCTCTGTGACCATGTGAAAAGGTCTGTGGCTTCTGTGCAAATCCATTTCACTTGCAGCAGTTTGTCTTAATCTTGCAATGCATTTGGCACTTCAAGGCAGTGCATAATTTCTACCTTTTAAATTTCATCTATAATACAGTTGCAGAAGTTGCTGGGGAGGCCATACCAGTGGGATGTGGAAAAGATAGCTTTGACTACGTTGGAAGCGCCGAGAGCCAGAGGTTCCGAGTGAGTAATGGCCTGACAAAAGTTTGTTACCTAGCCCCACTGTCATAGCTTTTTAAGAACAGTCATACTTGAGATCAAGCATATATTCCTTCCTTGAACATTATTGTGAAAAGCGTATGTTACTGATGTTTTAAAATAAGTCTGTGACACTTGGGGTAGCATGTATAATGAAGACTAAATGCTGTAATACCTCATTTTTATTCTCTTCTAGAACGCATTTAGAGCAGATTAAAACATTGATTGTACTGGTTTGCTTATTGAATGGAATATGATACTGAACAACCTTAGTGAAGGTGAAGGGCATACAGTGGTCAGATCCTCTGGAGAAAGCATCTTGTGATTTGCTGTAGGGTTTAGTACAGGTTTTACCAGACAATAGTGTCTCTTTAAGTCCTGGGGAGCAGACAGTTATTATGACTTGAAGGCAAAATATTTTGTTGTCTTAAAGTTCTTGCAGCTTGGTTGCAAGAAGGTGGCTAACAATCAAAAGTAATGACGATTCTGAGAAAATTTAAAAGACAGTATTTGGCTTTTTTAAAAGGCTGTATACTTTCATTCCTAATACCTGTAGTATTCAAGCCAGGTAAATGGTATATGGGAGATCAAGTGAGTAGTCTTTTTCACAGAGTAATAGCCTACAAGCTGTGATCGTTGCTCAAGAACTCCAGATGTTTTACAAACGGAACACGCGTCCTTAGCTTATTGCCTGCAGGACTGCAAAAGATGATCAGAACACGTATTTTTCATGCTTTAGTGTGGTAGGCATACTCTGTGCAAATATCCCTTACTTGTTTAATCTTAAAAACTGGGCAGACTGTCAAGGAAATAGTGCAGCTTTTCTGGCTATTTACTTTGTGTAACAGTTATAAAGACAAGATGTTCAAAGTCCTAAAGGATTAAGACCATTGCCTATTCAGTGGTTGCAAATTGTCTCATTAAGAAGTATGTGTTACCTTTTTTATGCAGCCTTTGGGTAATTTTGTAAAGCATTTTGGATTGTTCAAATGAAAGTTTTGCCAGTTCAAGCTTTTAGCGTAAGTGGTTTGAGTATACTATGTACAGCATCTGTGTGTAGCACAAGGCACTTAAAAATAGTGAAAGATCAGATTAGGCAATGGCAGTGAATTAGTACTGGCATTGCACAGTTAACTTGAGAACTGAACTTATTCACATAGTTCTGAAGTTTATGAAACCAGTTTGACCTGTATATAAATTATATAAATTTATGTAAATTATATAAATTGTATATAAATTGAAACAATTTTATTAGAATGATATGATTATTCTTATAGCACTTAAAGCCCAGTCTTAGTATGTTTCTTTTTTGTATGTTTCAGAGTATGTCTCATAGTATCTTTCTTAGTATGTTTCTTTTCTTTGCAAATATATGTTTTAAAAATGGGGGAGGACGATGGAAAGAAGAGGGGAAAGCACCTAAAACCAGTCCCCACTGACCCTTGCAAACAAGTAGATGGACGTATTGGCAGATTGTAGTACTGATTACACAAAACAATATATTATGACTCCCCGCTAGCTGCCAAATGTATGGAGTAGTGCTTTTCAAAACATTTTAATGCAGCCAAAAAGAGTGCCTGTGTGCTGAGTTTCACAGCTAAGCACACCTTTCCTTTTTTCCCATGCTTAAAACCATTTAATTGGGACACCAAAGAGTTCCCTGAGAGAAATAAAGAGCAAAAATGTCTCCAATTTTGAGGGCTGAAGTTGCACCTTGGCACACAGTTATAGAATGCAAAGTCATTATCTTCACAGCTGTTACTGAAATACTACCTTTTCTGTGCAAATATAAAGTGAATATGCCACAGAAGCTGGGCATAGCTAATGAGTTTCTAGCACGGATTTTGGACTAGATGTTTGAGAGAACTGGAGCACACAGGAAAAGGAGTCGTCTTGAAAATTTTTTACATCGTGAAATGGGATAGTAAAACTATTCCCTGCATTTGTGTTGGTGGTTATTGAAAATGCTCAGTATTGGAGATCCTAAAATATGCTGGGGCAGTTGCTTCCATGGCAACATCATTAAACAGTTGAGGGCCATTTTGCCTCCAAGTGGAAAGGTGGAAACAGCGGGACTTTACAAAATTATTCTTCTGTTTTTTGAATGAAACTAATATTAATTTAGCTTCCTTGCCAAGAGAGAAGAGAGGGAAATCGCCTGACACTGTTTCAGCCTATTCGATGTGCTGCTGGGCATCATTCAGGTTTGTGAACTGAATGTGAGGCGGTCACGGGTTCTGTCTGTCTCAGGGGCTGCTATTTCCAGTTGTCATTTGTGCTCTTTGAAAAAACTTTCCATCTTTTTATGTGGATATTTGTCTTAACTGTCTTACTGTGATAACTGAGTGTAAAACAAAGTTTGTGTTGTCATTGCGCATGATCTCCCTCATCTGGTGCTTGTTAGTATACATATGCTCTTCCCAGGAATGACCTTGCCTCCTCTTCTTCTTCTTCTTCTTTTTTTTTTTTTTTTTAAGTAAAGGAAACACCTTTCTGATCTGATATCGAAGAGTATGGTGGATGTGCTTCTAATGACAATCTAGTGGTGGGGGAAGCAGCCGAGAGAAGTCGGTAGCCCAGTTTTCCAGTCATGCCAAGACAGGAAGAGGAGGACTAGCTACCGAGATTCCCTTGAGAGTGGAGAAAGAGGAAGAGAATCCTGATGGGAGAATCCTGATGGGAGGATTAGCCCAACCCCAAGATCACTATATGGGTATTGTAATTGGGGAAACAGAAAGCTGACAGAAGATTAAAGCTTTGTGTGAAATAAAGGGTCTTTCTGATCCGTCCTGAGTAGGAGGGTTGCATTTCTTATGGCAGCATATCCATAACTTTTCTGGTAGCAGCAGACTGGAAGGGGAGCTACTGGAAAGGAGTCAGGAGCAGAGCTGGAACAAGGGAATGACACTGCTTTCCCTAACCAGACGGCAGCGGCTGTAAGCATGCTTGCCATAAAACGATGAGGACGAGGCCCACCCCGGCTGGGGCCCTTGCCCTGGGCCCTGCCTGCGGGCACCCAGTGCGCCCCGCCGCCTGAGGCCTGCTCCGCCTGCTTGCC